CCAAATTCATAGGTCTTCTCAATAGATACATTTGATAAAAAATGAGCATCATATTTTGCTAAATTTCCTAGAGAAATAGGCCCAAGAGAATGTATTTAAGCATAGAAAAATTTATATATGACAAATCCATAGCCAACATCATCCTAAATGAAAAGAAAAAACTTGAGAAAAGTCTATTAAAATCAGACAAGATAGGACTGTCTACTGTCTCCATTCCTGTTCAAAACAGTGTTTTATGTTCTTGCTAAAACAGGAGAAGGAATAACATATATTCAAAATAAAGTTACAAAAAACTACTAGTAGCCTTTTTATATACCAATAACAAACCCTAGCCAAGAAATCGGGGACACAATTCCATTCATAATAGTCTTAGGATGCCAATAGAATAAGCCTAATCAAAGATATAAAAACCACTACATTAAAAACTTTGAATTCACTCAGACATTAATGCTGATTGACAAATGTGACCTTCTGGAGTGTAAAAATCTCTATACAGCAAAAAATATGGACAGTTGAGGGAAGAGGGAGCCCATAGAGCTGGGAAAGAAATCCTCTCCAGACATACATCTGTTACAGGATTAATATCTAGAATAAACAAAATCAAAAAATAAAGCATCAAGAAAACAAACAACTCAGTGAAAGGGTGGGCTTTAACTCTTAACAGCATTCTCGAAAGAATAAATTCAGAATGTTAAGAAATATACTAAAAAGTGTTCAACATCTTAGAAATCAGAGAAATGTAATTTTTTTAAAAAAATCTTGTTTTTTTAATTCTCTAACTCTAGTTAAAAAGGCTTAAGAACTGATTGCAAATCAAATGACATCAAACGCTGGTGAGGCTGTGGGGGGGAGCAACCCTTATTCTCTGTTAGGGCCTGGAAAACAATGCAGACACACTGGACGACATCAGTGTGGGCTCTTAGAAAGAGATTTGACATGTGGACAAGCTCTCGTCTTCCCGGGCATACTGTATATCCAGCGACAGAGATACTTGGCCATCTATAATTGCTGCTCTATACACAATATCCAAGAAATGGAAACAGACTAAATATCCCTCAACTTATGACTGGATAATGAAAATGTGGTACCTCCATACAACGTAATTTTATTCATCTGTAAATAAAAATGAAACTATAAAATTTCCAGGGAAATGGATGAAGCTGGAAAACGTGTACTGAGGAAGGCAAGCCAGGTCCAGAAGGAGCAAATGTTGTATGTTGTCTCTTATATGTGGCTCCTAGCATCAGAGTTTCAGATTTGTGTGTTTAACTTGGAAATCCCATAAAAGCCATGAAACTAGAAAGAGAGGCCTTGGGGTGGGGTGAGAAAAAGATTAAGGCAGGTGGTTATGGGGTACAAGTTCACATGAAGGGAAAAAGAGAATAATGGGGGAGGTTTAAGTTGGGAGGGGATGGATGGAAGAATAGGGCACAGGTTGGCATAGCTGAAGGGATAGCTATCAGTAAGAAAGCTGTAAAGGGTCCTATAGAAACCTACTATTTTAAAAGCTTCCTAATATATGTATGCGAAAAATAATTTTAATTGGGGTTGCCCTATGTTAGGGAATAATGCTGCTTTGAGAAACCATAGGGTATCAATCAAAAAGCCCAGTGTCAAGTGTGAGATAAACACTACCATTTGTGGTCATAGACATCACAGAAACTCCTCAGTCAGCTCAGCCGATTGCCATTGCTATTGGTCACTCATCAGAACATAAAGGTAAGTTCCTAATGTTGAAGACTTCACACACTTTGGTCATAGGACACAAGTCAAAACAAACAAACGAAACAAAACCCACGGTAATATTGACCTGGAAGCTCCCTCTCCCCTCAATTGGCTAACTTACACAGTGCTAGAAAGGGCTATGTAGGTTTCCAGGGGAGAAAAGTTACCAGGAACCTTACCCAGCTGTGAACCTTGTGATCTACCATAATGACTGTCCTAGCTAGAAATGTTCATTGGTGCAGAGTGCCATGAATGTTATGGTGGTAACCCACAACTAATTGGAATTAAAAACCCAATTCACAGAAGGGCTTATGTCTGGCCAAGAATCCATGGCTAGGGAGGTCATAGGGCCTAGGGGTAAACCTACACTATTACTTTGCTAAATGGAAGAGTATCAAATCACCTCCTAAATACTTATTTTTACACCCATAGATCAGTATACTTCTTACCCTGTATCCGAGAAGCTTCTTTTTGTAGTGGATAGAGAATACCACAGAGATTTACAACAGGTCAAAGTTCAGAGAAGTAGTGACAGTGGAGTGGCCATCCCTAAATGGGAGAATTATATCCTGTTCTCTTCCCCACCCAAAGCTCAGAGTATATAATGGAAGAGGGGCAGAAAGTTTGTAAGAGCTAGAAATTAGGGAGGACTGCTTCAAAATAATGTCTTGTAGACATGACAAAGTCATTGCACACATGGACCCAAAGCAGTTGTGGTTGCCTTCATAAGACATGCACAGAATTAAGACAGTCAACATTCCAGCAGGGATTGTGGAGGGCCTCCCAGCCCCGACTTCTAACTGATTTGTTACTGGCAGTTGATGACCATTAGGGGAGGAACAGTTGTTTTCCTTAGGGTGTGGCCTGTAATAGGTGGCCCCACAATCATGATTCTGCAGATTATAAAAATAGAGGACTTGGAGTTAGCAGAGGCATGTTGGGGATCCTGGAAGAAGGTAGAAATGAAGAGTGGGGTGTAGATATAATGTAAATGCATCGTATACATTTATGAAGTTACCAAAGGATAAACTTAAAAAAAATACTTGATTGCCTAAATGGAAGGTCTGTCCCTAAGTAATCTCAGAAGAGACCAAAAGATTTGTGACTATATTTCCTGTAGAATGGAAAGACTGTCAATATAACTCATAGAATATTTATAAGTTAGTCTTAAGTCATATTAGCAGAAATTCCAACCAAACAATTAAAATCAATGGACAGCTCTTCAATGACACTAAGATAAATTGCTATTGGGACTCTCCACTCTAAGTGTGATAAAGGACTTACAGTATGTCTCTGTACCATCTGCTTGACATAAATATGTCAAATTTCTGATAATATGCACTATGTAGAGTATATTATCTTTACTTTAGTTTTAATGAATATTTAGTTGCATTTATTGTGATAGGGCACATATATTTATGTACAATGTTTCATGATGAAGTCAAGGTAATCTACACTCTTATCAAACATTTGCATTTCTGTATCAGACACCTTAAAGCCTTCCTCCTCCAGTTCTTAAAAATATAGAATAAATTATTTTAAACTATAGTTACACTTTTTAAATTACATTTTTATTACATTTTAAAATTATTTATTTTATGTGCATTGGTGTTTTCACCTGCATGTGTGTCTGTATGAAGGTGTTCCCCTGGAACAAGAGTTGCAGACAGTTGTTAACTTCCATGTGGGAATTGAACCCGGGTCCTATGAAAGAACAACCAGTGTTCTTAACCTCTGAGCCATAGCTCCAGTCCTGTATAGTTATACTTTTGTGCTATATAACACTATAATGAATTCCTTCTGTCTATTTGTGTCTTAGTCCTGATTATCTCATCACTGATCATGTGTTTTTAAATGTCAATATTGGTGACCCAAAATGGAATTCTGTGTGCATTAAATCAGCCTTTTTGGTAAGAAGTGTTTATCAAGCCCCTACCAAGTGAAAAACACAACGATAAGTGCTTTAAGAAAGATACATAACTCAAACATTTGTAATATCCTAATAATTTAGAAACTTGACCTTTAGAGAATGAGATAGGTAAACATGTGATAATGCTACTTAATGTTGTAAAATGAGATGTGCTCCCACAGAACAACACAGCAGAAGAAATTAAGGCAAATGAATACCTTTGAAGCTTTAAATACTGGAAACACATACCTTCCCACCCTCAAAGATCCTGTCCTTTCTTCTCTGATTCTCTATTCTAGTCACACCCAACTTTTTTCTTTAAGGAGATTATAGTTGTTGAACCATTTTAATTTTAATTTACCCTTTATATTTTTCATTTTCTTCAGGAAATGCCGCTAACCTACAGGAAGGTGTAGTGTGTCCCTACATATATACACTCTAGAGCTAACCTAAGCAATAAACTATTATGCAGTTGAAGTTCACCATGTATCCCTTCCCAATTAGATACTCTTTCCTTAAAAATGTATCTAGAAATCCTAAATAAGTATTTTCAATCTCATACAAGATTCTCTGCATGATATATAAATATGGATCACACATATTCACTTTACTGTATGTGTATATATACTTGTAGTTATTGTTGTTTTATGTTTTAAACTTTATATGCATGTTATAATGCATCACAAAGTTAGTTTTTTTCCTTATATATTTTTCTCCACTACATTGCCCAATATTTGCCTTTTTAGGTCTTTCTCTGTGTCTTAGACCTCTAAGAATTGTAGTATCTTCCTGCACCACCCCTCATACAGCACCCAGTATTTATTGTTTTATTCAATTTATTTTAAGGGTCTCAAATCAGTGATATAATGCTGGTCCAATGATAGTGAACCATTACTCTAAATTATTAGTTCTCAAACTATGCTGATATTAAGAATAAACTAAAGATCTTCAGAATCTCTGCCAGATCAATTTGAGAATTTGCTATCTAGTACATCTTGAATGCAGCTAAGAAGTTGGTATTGCTCACAAATTCCCTGGTATTGCTGCTGTTGCTGCTGCTCCATGTGTTCAAGGGTCCAGTCTTGCTTCCAGACAAGCTGGATCACTTTTCCGTTCCTGTGAGTAAGATTCAGACTGTGCTAGACCTCAATCTGTTTTTATATAAATGGTTTAAAATTACTAATACAATTTATAGAGAGTATAGTAAGAGGGCTTAAGACATTTAAAAGTGATCTGCTTCAATGACTGGTAGGCTAAAATGAAAAGAAACATGTCAATTGACTTGAGTTAGTATTATTGATATAAAAAGACTCTCCCATTTATTCATTTCAAATTATTTTTATTTTTAATGGAAAGAACACTTAAACAGTGGGGAAAGTTTTCAGTGAATATATTTGGTTGAAAAAACTTAGAACAGGATCACTGATGATAATTTTTCATATGTTAATAAATGTTAGATGATCTCAAATCCACAAAAAAACTGATTCACTGATTCTGTCTTCATACATGGCTTCTTTTGCCCTCAATCTGCATGAAGAATAAGAGATAATTAACAATTATAAAACAGTAACATGAACCACTAATTTTTATATCTTAAGAAAATAGTTGGTCACATGCTTTTTTAACAAAAGTAATGAACATATTTTCTTCTTGAAACTCAGACTCGTGTATCCGGATACTCTTTTATCATCCAATGTCTTCAATTAGTTGACCATGATAGGTTCCCTAATACCACAAAGGCCTAGTTTTCTTTTCTGTAGATATTCCATGACCTTGCAAAGATACAAATAAAACTCTATTTTAAAATATTCTGTCCTCGAATAAACCGTAATTTTTAAAAATTTCCATGCCCTTCCATTTAAAGAAGTAAGCAAACAAAATCCAATAGTCTTGGCAACATCCCAGAGGTAGATACTTTCATTAACTTCATATTTCTGCTGCATCATGTTTTCCTTTAGCATGATTTCCCCCTCTTCTAATAGCATGAATATCCTGTCCTGTTCAGTATTTCTGGTCCTTTGGAAGGAATTAGAATCATTTCCACCTTGTTGAACTTTAAATATTTTGGAGCTTTATTGAAAAATCATTTGCTATATTTGAAATCAAATTCTCTAGTGCATCTATCTCATTGTTTTCCCCAACCTCTTCATATCTGAATTTTACAGTTTTCATGTATTCTCATAACAGTTCATTGTTTTGGATTGTCCTACATTAGATCATTGCATTTTTAAAACCTTTATCCAAAAGAGCAATATATATCATTTACTTGTTGTTTCCCTCTGGTCTCTTCCTTCCTGAAAAGCTTCTTCCTAAACATTCCTTAACCAGCAACAGTCATCTACTGCAGGATTGTACACCAAATTTGTATTCTTATCTAAAAGAATAGCAAAAAAAGCAAGTCCCTCCCCTCAAGCTCCCCAATAGCAAGGTATTGATAGAATTGGGTTTCTACTTTTACCCCATGTTTTCATAGTATGGCCTGCAAGTGAGCTACCAATGCCAACAGATGCTGAATGGTAAACGAATTTGCTGATGCACAGTGACCTTTGTCCCTTGGTTGCAAAGATCAGCATCTGATAGAATACAGAAGTGCTAGTCATGAACTCACTGTACTAGAACATGTTCTCATAGTTCTCTGAGTTGTGTGATGTACCTTGGGATCCCTTTGGGGATGTTGTAAAAGACAGACATCCTGGAGGTAGCGCCTTCTATTTGGCACTCACCATCCCAATTCTATGTTTCCTTTGCCAGGTTCTGGACTTCTTGGAGAGTCCTTTCCTTTCCTAAATCTGTGGGTTTCCAAAGACTGAACTTTACTCATCTTGCCTCGGGTGGAGCAGAATGTGACCATTAAGAGCATGTATACACACTTTAGTGGCATGGTGTATTTAAGAGAAACACGATTCTCTATAGGGACCACCCCCCCCCCCTTAGGTGAACTCACAGGCACGCAGGATAATTTTCTCCCCCTGATGGTTCTCATCTTGATCTTCTTCATTCTCCTCTTCGTATTCATAGTCATCATCCTCGTCGTCATCCTCGTCGTTCTCATCTTCCTCATCTTCCTCCTCTTCCTCCTCCTCCTCTTCCTCCTCCTCCTCCTCATCTTCGTTATTGTAGTCCTGGTCGTCTCCAACTTCGTCCTGAAGCTCCTGGTCATCACTCTCCTGGTCACTGTTCCAGATATACCAGTTCTCGCCAATGTCTGGCCAGACCTCCTCGGCATCACTCCAGATGTCCTCCATATGAGACCAGACATCTTCCACACGAGGCCAGGTCTCCTCAACTTTAGGTCGTATCTCCTCTTGCCCACAATCTTCCTCAGTAATGGCTCTCACGACTGCCTGTGAAACTAGAAATGCTGCGGTTTCATTGATGTCATCGACAGCCTCTTCCATCGGCAGCGCATGCAAAACAATTTGGCTGGTGTTGCGCTCCATCCTGCCACCTTCTTGCTCTTGGTCAGGTAATTCAGGTTCCTGTTCAACAATAGCAGACATTGTATAAAATCCTTGCCAGTCAAGATCTTATTGAAACTTCAAGCTTTGAAGGCATTGGTTGTGATGAGGCGTTGTCAGGGTGACTACCGCGAAGTAGATAGAGGGAGGCTATTGGCTACAAGTACCTCTTTGGAGGCAGTGAGAGCAGTCGTGAAGGTTTTCCGCTAGTGAGCTGATGGAGTTGGTACCTGTGGAGAACCTATAAAGGAAGGATTAGATAGCACCAGGAGGAGCAGCCTCCTGAGCCTGGCACCAAGATGGTTGAGGATCAGGTATAAGGGGGCGGGGCCTTGAGGAGTAATAATGGTCCCTGTCATGCGTCACCAGAGCTATAAGCTCATTTGCTGAGTTGTAGTGATTGACATACATTGTGTCCAATGAGCGACAAAGGTCCTTAAAATCTAGGGACTGCTCAGAATCACACCTTTTTCAGTTGAGGCCTTATTGTCTCAGGATACCTTTTAAAGTGATAGGAACCTTGTCTTTTAAATTTTATATTACCAGCAAAATGATAGTGTATCAATATGAATGAGCCTGTCCACACTGTTCTGTATTTCTCATAAGTAATGCTGATATAGACAGAGTTATAAAACAGTTGTAGAGGTGCAAGAGAGATGGCTCAGAAGAGTACTTATTACTCTTCCAGAGGACCCAGGTTCAATTCCCAGCACCCACATAGTGGTTAAGAACCGTTTGTAACTCCAGTTTCAGGGGATCTGGTGCCTTTGAATCTCTTGGCATTGTAAATCTCTTGGGCATTGTAAACACGTGATGCACAGACATGCAAGAAAATGCTCTTATACACACATAAAATAAAAATAAAAAATTGAAAAACCCAATTGTTGTGTAGCTCAGATTTCAGTAGCGGTGAAAATAGAGACAGAAAAGAGACAAATACTGAAACGTTGAAATGATTACAATCAGAACAAAGGGTTGAACATGGAAAAAAACCCAAGCAAACAAAACAAACCAGAACTTGGACAGTATTTAATTTGCACTGCCATATTCATATCTGTCCTTCCATACATGCATACAAAAAGAGGGAAATATGTCAGAAATTAAAAGGCTTCCCAAGGTGTTCTAAGAAAAACTAAGATTTTCTGTTTTCTTCTTCCCAGTTAGACAAGAATAAAGCATTCCAAAGCATAAAGCATTTTTCTACTAGGAAGAAATCAAACACCTTTTCATATTTATAGTGAAAATCTTTAAACATAAAAATGTTCTGTTTCAGGAAAATGACACCCACCAACCTCTTTAATCACTCCCACAAAATTTAGGTGTTAACGACAATTTGGCATACTCTTTCCACTTCAAAAAGAGAACATGTTTTTTTCATAAAACACATAAATATCAAAGAAAATGTAGAAGGTTAATTAGCTAAATACAAAGAAGGGTCATGGCCCTCAGTGGGCCTAACCAGTCTTTCTCCACCTTTGATGAGAGACAGCGTTAGAGGTTTAAAAGCATGCTGTAGAGTGAGCTTTTGAAAATCACAGTAGGGGTAATGGTTGAACCTCAATTAGTTTATGGCAGAAAGATTTTTCACATGTATTTTATTTTGTCTATAAAATATCACGGTAGAGGGCTCTTTTCTGGAAAACACTTTTTCTTCCCATTCTCAGCACTCCTTAGTTGCCCAGAGTTCTTTGTCTAGTGTTAGATACAAATAACTATTAAAGAAAAAGAAGCCTTGAATAGGAGAGCTAGCAAGATGGGGGTATACACTGGAGGGATTAGAAATTGCGGAAAGGAAAGGGAGAAATGATGTGATTTTATTTTCATTTTAAGTAATAAACAATTATTTGGAAAACTCAGGACAGAGTACCAGTGAGTGGGATATAGAAATAAAGACTTATGTTGGTTTTCAAGATTTCAAATGAGGCCAAAGACTTGCCTTGCAATTGTGGCACATACATGCATCACTTTAGTACATATTTCATTTTCCACCATAGAAAATAGGAATATCATCTCTCTACTTCTCAGAGTGCTACCTTCCTTCCTACATGCCACTAGATGTGAAGACTTTCCACAAAACAGGTGCAAAGCCCCTGCTTTTGTTTCTGTTTGTGTTCCCCTAAACCTTATTTTGGGATCCTATTCCTTGAGGTGATGAAGGTAAATTCTGCATCCTTTGGAATGGTATAAGGTCCTGGTGGAAATGCCCTCATGAATGGAGCTAATGCCCTTCCAAAAGAGGTATTGAAGTGGCCACTTCCCCATGAGAACATAAGGAGAAGCCACCATATGGGAACCTGAAAGTATTTTCTCTCAGACACTAAATCCTTTAGCTTCTTGAACTTGGTATTCTCAGCCTGTAGAGCTCTGAGAAGTATGTTTCTATTGAGTAAAAGCACCCAGTCTATGACACTTTGCTTGGCATCCTGAATAAACTAAAGGATCCCTTTCAACTGGGTGCAATCCTCATGCCTCCTTCAAGTCTCCTTTGGCATGCTCTGAAATTAAGTTCAATAAGAATCTTTTATATAAATATGAATCAATATGAGAATAAAAATAGAATAAATGGTTAGATATTGATGCCAAGTAGTGATGGCACATGCCATTAATCCAAGCACTCAAGATGCAGACACAGATCTCTGTGAGTTTGAGGCCAGCCTGGTCCATAGAGTGAGTTCTATGACAGTCAGGGCTGTTATATAGAGAAACCCTGTCTTGAAAAACCAAAAAAGAAAAAAGAAAAAAAGAAAAAAGAAAGAAAAGAAACACACATTGATATAATTATACTGATATTAACGTGAAAGATAAATAAAACTGCCTCATTCTAAAGAATTTTTAAAATCATTTTTATTTTTAAAATTAAAGTATAATTATATTACTTTCCATTTACCTTTTCTTTCTACAATGCCCCCTTCCATGTATCCCATTCTTTTCTCTCTCAGATCCAGGGACTCTGGCCTCTTTTTCTTTAATTTATGTATTCCTAATTTTATAAATACAACCTTCTTAATCTGTATAAAGTTACTTGTGTTTGTATGATTTATTTTACAGGACTGATTATTGGTTATTGGATAAGCTGTGCTCCTCCCAGGGGAAGACTATGTCTTCCTCTCTCAATATTTCTTAGTTTCCTGTAGTTCTTTGCCTAGGCTTGGGGCCCTGTGAGATGTCCCCCTTCCATGTTTGCTTGTCTAGTGGTGTTGTTCTTGTCAGTCTGAAAGTTTGCAAATGACTCGTGTTATAGACATCATTCAAATTGACAACCTAAAGCCCATCTGTGTTATATCTACAATATATGCAAGCATGTAACACAATGTAACGGTACTCTAGCCTGAAATTAATTATTGCATTTGATTTGTGTCAGCTTTACATTGGTTTGGTAATCAGCATAGGCACTGTTCCTATGTAGATACAGAACATACAGCCTGCATGACATACTCCATATAACCAGCATGACATATTCCAAGGCTATTCAGGCATCAGAAGATACATATGAATTTTCTTAGAAATCAGGTAAGAATGACAAAATCAATAAGGTGGCAAATGCTTGCTTTGGTCGCTTAACTAAAGTAAACCATAGGGTGATTAACAATTCTGGGATATTGGAGCCAAGAAACAGAAAACATTTATTTCTCATCATTTTAGAAACTTCCTGTGTTTCACAGATCTCTACCTCAGGTGGTATGGTAGTGTGTCTGTCAGCTTTGCATTCCTGTGATAAAATGCTTGAGATAAATATTTAGCAAGGGTTGAGAGTTTATTTTGACGTATGGTTTTAGTCCATGGTTTTGGTCATGTTGCTTTGGGCCTGTGGTGAAAGATTAAATCATGTTTAGGATGTGTAATGGAGGAAATCAGTTGACTTTAGTATGGCCAAAAAGAAAAGTGATACTGTGGAAGAGGCATATGCCTAGTGACTTAAATTCCTTACTGTAGACTACAGGAAAAAATGATTCTATAGAATTTCAGTAAAGATCTAAACCCTAGCTATTTAGTCTCCACCTTAGCTACATAGTCTCTTTGAACTAATCTGGTAACCATTACTTCTCCCCTCAACTACCTATTGTAGCACAAATAATAAAATCCCTATACAGATATTGGGGTTCAATCAGAAGATCAGAAAAGCAAAGCAACCAAGCCACTAGAGAGCTCTTACCACTTTGAAAGCTTCAGACAGAAAGAGCGAGAGTTCTAGTCTCATCCTGCCTTATATTCCTCTCTAGTGCTGGGATTAAAGCTGTACACCACCACTACCCGGCCTCTATGACTAACTAGTGTGGCTGCTGGGATGAAAGGTCTGTGCCACTACTGCCTGGCCTGTGTGGCGGACTAGTGTGGCTGTTTTGCACTCTGATCTTCAGGCAAGCTTTATTTATTAAAACACAAATTAAATATCACTACAACCTATAGCCAAACATGTTTCGATAGGCAGTTGGCCATTGCGAGTGGAGTGCAATGCTAGCATTTTCAATGGTGCATAATGTCTCCTATTGCTGCTTTAAAAGACCTCTATTAGCTTCATAATAGTTCTACCAACCTATCATTATCATTGTGGTTTGCAATGAACTGTAACCAACAATCAAACTCAAGTGAAAGAGTGTAGGTTGGTATCACCATATACCAAACTGCTTTCCAAAGTTGATGACAGATCTTTGAATTTTTGAATAAACAGTATAATATATATCTTTTTAAAACTGAAATAATTCAATCTCTCTTTCTCTCTTCCCTCTCTCTTTCTCTTCCCCAACTCTCCCCTTACCTCTCTCCTTACTATATTTACTTTACTTTTTATTGATTTATAGATAATTTGTTTCAATAATAGTTCTTTGGTTATATTGCTTTTGTTTTGTTTTTTAGATACTTGTTTTTACAGTTTTTTTGCAAATGTGTGTATGTTTGTTTTTGTGTATGTATGTATGTCTGTGTCTGCCAGTCCCTAAGTATGCTCATGCATATAGAGCCCAGAGAGCAATCAAGTTTTCAGAGACATGGTCTCTTACTTACCTATATTTCACTAAATAGGCTAGACTGACTGACTGGTGAACCCTAGATGACAAACACAGGCCATATATTGTAAACGAATGATGGAGGAGGATTATCTGTCTATTGTGTTATTTTCATTGGTCAATAAAGAGACTGCCTTGGCCCTTTGATAGCACAGAAAATTAGGTGGGCGGAGTAAACAGAATAGAATGCTGGGAAGAGGGCAATGTGGCAGACGCCATGGAGCCAGCCACCAGGTCAGACATGCTGAATCTTTCCCGGTAAGCCACCACCTCGTGGTGCTACACAGATTATTAGAAATGGGTTA